GTCACTGGGCCAGTCGTGGACTACAGGACACAAACAAGCTAAGCTCAGTCAGCCAGTAACTGATATGAAGAAGCCTGAGGAGTGTGCAGTCTAACACAAAATGATCATCTATTAAAATACAAGAGAGCCAAAATATTAGGAACACACCAAGCACCACGACCTTTGGATTTTGGTCCATTTGAAAACCGTTACTGATCTTTTATTAACCACTTAGACTCTAGACGTTTATTATATTGACCATTAAAGTGACGAAGGCCACATTAAATTTAGTAAGAAATAAATCGAGATTTTATAAAGACTGCAGTGTGACCGGGCCCAGGACCATTTGAGGCTTTATATGCTTAAGTTAGGGATGCAAAGCTCCAACTTTTTCCATCTCTAACACCTCAGCTTTTGGTATCTGCTGATCCCATGCCGATAATAAGTTAATAGGTCATATTGCTCAGTGAGGAAAAGACCAGGCTGATATTGATCCAGGCAAACGTGGTGAACATCAGCAGGACCTTCAGGTCACGTCTGGTTTAAACTAACACAATCAATGACAAATCAGCTGTCAGCTCTGTGATCAATGGTTTTCATTGCACACAGGTGGACCGTGCTGCTTCACGGCTCTGTTCACAGAGGCCACAAAGCCTCGCCACACGGGCTGACATGGCTCTGAAGAGGAAGTGAGGAGGAGGACAAGCAGGAGGAGGCACACACACTGACCTTCCACACATGCTCTTTGACCCCTGAACAACCTCCAGCACTGAGGCGACACAGCAGCCAGCTAATACGCTGCCAGCGAGGAGGGAGCGGCAGAAGGCCAAGGCGTCGCTGCTCTAACACTGAAGGTTAGCAGTGAAAACAGTGTTACAACATCGACGCGTCTCCGAGCTCTTTAATGAGCGAACAGCTCCGTCACATGCTTATGCAGATATTTAAAAACACTGCAGAGAAAAGAGGGAAGAGCTTGTCTCTGCAGCTGTGAAACACAGAGAGTCCTGTCTGTTAAATGCACAGTTTTCCTCACAGACTCTGGTGCGAGTGCTGTTAAAAATAAAGAAGGCTGATGGTTTCCAGGCCGCGGCCTGAAGTCACACTCGGGTCCGGTTATTTTAACACACCACACTCCGCCGGCCTGACCCGCCTGCAGTAATGATACAGCCAGAGTCCCTGCCGGAGACCCAGAACCAGGACAGCATCTGGCCCACTTCTGCTTCCTCGGCTCTGCGGAACAAACTCAAATTAAACCTGCTCTGTGTAGCTGTATCATGGACTATAATGCTCTTTACTGGACCTAAGTGAGAAGAAACTGAGCCAGCTTTAAAGACTGAATGGCCTGCGAACTGACCTCAGCATGGACAAATGGAGTAAATGGAGCTTTCAGGATCAAATCTAACATCTTCTTTCTATCTGGAGTTCACTAAACTCATCAAGGAGAGGAACACAAGGAAGGAAGCAAGGAAAGAAAATAAAGCAAGGACACAATAAATAGAAGAAAGGAAAGAGGAGCAGATGAAGGAAATTAGGCAGTGAGAAAGAAACAAGCAGACCAGAGGATGGAGAAAAAAGGACATGAAAAAAAAAGTTGAGGAAGGAAATTAAAAGAAAAAAGGAAAAACTGGGCAAACGAAGAAAGAAAGCTAGGTGGGAAAAGGTGTCAAGCAAAGACAAATGGAGGGATAAAGGAATGAAAAACATAAGGCAAAAAGAGAAGGAAATAAGGACCCAATGAAGGGAAGATTGATAAAAAGGAAACAAGAAATAAGAGTTAAGGAAAGGAAGAAAAAAGAAAAAGATTCAAGGAGGAGTTAAGGAAACAAGAAGGAATTAAATTAGGAGCACACAAGACTAGCATGCAAGGACAGAAGGAAACAAGGAAGGATGGAAAGGTGAAGGAATGAAGAAAGAAAAGAAGGATGAAATGAAGGGATGAAGGAGGAGAAAATTTAGCAAGGAGAAAAGGAAACAAGAAAAGAAAACGAGGTAAGGAAAAGTAAGAAAGGAGAAGAAGTGGAGTTACAGAAAGAAGAAATGTAGAACAAACGAGGCAAAGTTAGGATAGCGAACAGGTGACACTTTAAGGAAGGAAACAGAAAATTATGTCAAATAAAGAGAAGGAGACGAGCAAGGAAAAAAATAAAAATAAAAGGAGAAATGAGGAGAAGGAAGTAAGGAAGGAGAAGAGTCATCTCTCCATCATCCCTCCATCTCTGCTCCCTGCTGCAGCATTTCCTCTAATAGGATTTTCTCCCTATTATACCCATTGTAGTGTGTGTGTGTGTGTGTGTGTGTGTGTGTGTGTGTGTGTGTGTGTGTGTGTGTGTGTGTGTGTGTGTGACCGTGATGAGGGTGTCAGGGTTCAGGGGGCATCAGAGGGGTGCAGGTCACGACCTGCCATGTCATGCTCTAATTGTGATTGTCATATTGATGGAGAGGGAAAGGGCTGGAGGATTGGAGAGCTAACATAAATTGTAATGATAGATACTGGGGCGTGAGTATCAGTGTC